GTCTGAACGCTTGTCCCGTTGGTGGGGGGGTGCGCTTGGCACGGCCGGTCAACTGTCATGAAGCATCCACAGAACAGTAGTGCAAGGGCCGTCAAATTGCCAGACCGATCGGACATACAGGAGCAATCATACGGGCTCGAAACCACGCGCATTTCACAGCCCCACACTATCCCATACGTCTCCAGAACAAAACATCCCACCCCAAACCACCAAGAGAAGAGGAGTTGTTGTGGTGAGGGTCTTTCAGAGAGAGTTTGAGAATGGGAGTCGTTTTGAGAGAATGAGCTTGAGCGATGGCGTGATGTTTGAGAGTTGGCCATGTTTTCAAGGGAGAGCGAGAGAACGTTTTCGAGTAAGAGAACTTTTGAGAGAGTGAGAGAGAAAGCATCTTGGTTTGAGAGCGTTCCAGCAGCGACTTTGATCACTCACTTTGGGTCCAGACTTGGAAGGACTGGGCTGACTTGGTTGCCCATGTTTGACTGGTTTGTTTGGTGGCGGAATGAGAGCGAGGCTGGGGCAGTGAGTGCGCGCGTGCGCCGCAGTCGGCGGGTTTTTTTGTAGTGATGACTGGACTGTCATGCTGGCTTTCAGGGCCAATGGGAAGGTAGGTGGGACGGTTGGTTCCCTCGTGCAGGGTCCTTGACCTTGGCGTCGCATACCCGAATGATGGTGGTGGTGATGAGGCAGGCTATCGTTGTTTAGGGTGATTCCCTCCCAACTTGGGACAGCCAAATGACCAGTCCGAAAGCTTGCCTCAGCTTCCTCGCGGTCGGGGCTCGATGTTGTTTGGTATGTGTAACATGACGGCGCTCACACCTGACGCTCAATAAATGCTCGTGCACGCTCACACCGTGTGCTGCCGTCGTTGCGAGTGCACCACACCTCGGCTTGCCAAGCATGACACGATCGTCTTGCAACCAAGCTCAGGCCGAGCCGCTGCAGCGTCAATATCTCTCACTTGTAGTCAGTCGCTGAGCACATCGTCCTGCGTATGGGAGTTGTGGTGACAACCATCCCCCATTCCTTCACCACCTTGTCTCTGATGGGACAAAGTCGAATCCCTTGCTATGGGCGTCGTACCGAAGCACACGCTGTCATCGGTGCATGCACCGCAGCCGCGGTGCTTCATGGCAGGCGCCAGTCATCCAACAAATTTGAAACGCTTCGGCCTCGTCTTTTTTTTTTTGCTTGTTTGTACCGACGTAGCTGGTTCGAATCGTGCCCCGTCCACGTCCATCCGTGCGCTTTGCTGGTTTGGTAAAGGAGAGGACACCGAGCTGGTGGAATTGACAGGTCACACCGACACAGCTTGCAGTCCTGAAAGTTTTGCACGCAGGGGTAGGGGCCATAGGGGCACTCATTCGGGTGACACGGGCACGAGGAGGGGTGCGACATGGTCAACATCAAGGACCATGCACATCACAGACAGAGCACATGCACAACCGAGGGCTTGAGCCAGCCATGGCATGGCGGACACAAGACCAACAAGGATTGTGGGTCAACCATGATATTGCAGAACCAAGCAGCAGCAAGCCCTCGCAGTTGAATGGGTGCTTTTGCTTGCCTGTGTCAGTAGCGCGCCAACTGCGCCCCGACCTGTGTCTCACTGGTTCCTTTGCCGCTGCTCCTGCCTGTGATGGTGGTGGTGGTGGTGGTGGTTGTTGTGCCTGAAAACCAGCACGGTTCGATCCGCATTTTCCAACTTTTCCGTCACCCGTTGACCCGTCGTCCTCCTCCTCCTCCTCCTCCCTCGCCTCCCTCCTGCCGTGGTTTTCCCCTCCCACCCTTGCTGACCTGGGCACTCTTCTTTCCCATAATTCGTGGCGTGCCACGCCTTGACTTGGTCTCTCCCCGAACCGGCGCGAGTGCCACACACCCAATTGGTCTCCTTCTTTCCACGGTTCCGTGCTGTGAACCACCGGCTGCCCCCCATCCCCCGAACCCGCTCGTCAAGTTTACTTTATCATACCCTAGCGTTCCTCCCCCTGCGACGAGTGTGTGCGAGTGTGTGATTACTTGCTTGGCTCCAGCGAGTGAGTAATTGCGTGTCTGTGTGGGCTGTCCCACCCCGTTTCGTTGAGCCCCAAGCCCCCAACACCAAGCCACTTTGGTGCCAACCCCCTTTTTTGGGTCCACTTGCTTCTGTGATCCCATTCCCCAATTTCGCCTTCGCGCCCTCTGCCCTTTGCCCTTTTGATCTGATTCTGTGTGTGGCCTCTGCCTCCCACCACTGTTGCCGGTCCGGTCGACTCTTGGACCTCTCTCTCTCTCTCGCGCGCTCTCTCTCTCTTGTCAGCAACTCCCTCAACAACCGTCGGGACCCCATTACCGTTTATCACCCATTACCCCATTACGCGATTGGCCATCGGGCTCGTGTGTCATTAGCTCGACCTCGGCATTATCCCGGCATCATCCCGGGCATCACAACAGCAGCAGCCCCAAAGCCCCTTCCGCAACTCCTCTCGCCAAACTCAGTTTTCCCAGCGCCAAGAATACCAAGCGGTCGACCCAGACCCAGACCCTGTCCGCCACCCGCGCGCTGTGGACATTTTCAACGTGCCAAACCCACCAACAAGCTTCACATCTGCCCGGTACCATCCAACACACGCTGTCCTGTGTCCCATCCCCTACGTGGCCCCTTTCCACCATCACTCCTTCGCTACCCGCTTCCTCCTTGCCCTCGGCCCTTGTGTGCCGACGCCTCGACTGACTTGGCTGCCAACCAACCAGCTCAACCCGACCCGTTTGTTTTGGTGGCTTGGGCACATTGGCATTTACTTGACAGAGCTGACGCTGCCCGCCAAGCCTTGCGCTGCCGTTTGATTCCACTTCAGCGCTGCTGTTGTGGTCCAGTGGTCCACACACTCACACACTCCCTTACTCACACAGACACACCAAGATGAATCCCGCCCTCCTGGCCTCGCTGGGCTTTCCCCCCGCCACCACTTATGTCCTTTCCAACTACGCCTCTGGCTCGCCCGACATGTCTGCCGCTGCCTCGCCTCAGTTGACCCATCCTATGCTCTTCAATCCGCAACACCATCAGTTGCCGCAGCACCCGCAACCACAACCGCTCGCCTTTTATCAACAACAGCAAGCTCCCATCGCCACCAACAATGGCCTGGACTTGACAGCCGCCAAAAGCGAACTTGCCCAGCTGCAGCAGCAAGAGGCCCTCAAGCGCCTGCGCCCCTGCCCTCATCCCGGCTGCAGCCGCATCTTTTCTCGTTTGGACGTGAGTCACATCTTCTGCTTCTCCTTCCTGCTCTTATCATCTCGAACCACCTCTCTCCCCTTCAGAGGCAACAATCACTTTGCACCGCTCCCCACCACAACTCACGCCCAGACTCGCCCTCTGTTTGCTTGACTGTATTCTCCCTTTAGCACCTAAAACTGCACCTGCTCGGCCATTCCAATGCCCGTCCATTTGAATGCCAGACCTGCGGACGCCACTACCGTCAAGTCTATTCCTTGCGCCGTCACCACCGCAACTCGGGGCATACAGGCATCAAACGCCATCAACAGAGTCTGGAAAAGGCCTTTGATATTCTTTCCGAGAAGGAAGAGACAGGAAAGGACGAGGGCGGCGAGGATGCAGACCACACCGAGCCATCAGCCGGACGCAAGCTGGCCGGTGCCAAGACAGACCTCACCTCTCCAGCCTCCTCTACAGGTGTTTCCCCCAACGCTTCCTTCAGCACAACATCAGTGCAATCCAAGTCTCCCAGCTCCCTACCCACCTCTCAGAACGCGGCCAACATCTTCTCGCTCTTGCGAGCACCACCTCAGTCGTCTCTCAACATGATGCACTCAGCCTCGGGATCAGCTAGTCCCACCATGATGAGTCCCACCATGATGAGTCCCACCATGATGAGCTCCAACATGCTGGCAGCACCGCAACTCTCCAGCTCCATCTCCACTTCGCTCACGCCCAACATCAACGTCGGCATGCTTAACCAAGCACAGCCCACCATGGCCAACATGAATCCCCAGCTTGCCCTTCAGCAGATGCTCTATCAACAGTCCATGATGGCCATGCTCGCAGGCGTGTCCAAGCAAAGCTAATCACCCTTCTTTCGCTGAGCTCAATCAACCATACACCCACGACGCCAACACCAACACAAGCTTTATCCCCCTCGGAAGCCGAGCTTCACCACGACCGCGACCACCACCACCGCCGAGATCAACAACTTTGCTTGATTCATTCAAGTTGGCTAGTCCGGTCGCTGTATATAGTGCATGTAAACCTTTGGCACCGCCGAAAACCTTTTCTCCTTGGCAGTGGCTGCCCCGAGTTGTTGGCGCCACATCTTGTTTGACTTTGGGTTTGTTTTTGTTTTCATGCCAGCTTGATTTTTGAATGGCACACATGATTGTTCAGTGTCGTGTTTGTTTATAACGCACATCTCTGTCCGTTGTTCAGGATCGTGCCCAGCGTGCTTGCTTATATCTGACTGCACGTCTTGTCTTGCAGCCCATTTGCGGTCCTCTCCTTGTGGAGTAGTAGTAGTAGCCTGTTCACTAAACAACGCTTAAAAGTTTTTCTTTCTTTCTTTCTTGCTGACCTGCTGAGTCCTGTTGTTCTTCCCGGTTCGGATGCGCATCGCGTGACTTGGACGATAATTCAACATGCAGCAGTCAATCGTGTCAAGCTTTCGTTCAAACAATAGAGGAAAAAAGGGGGGGGGTGGGGGACGGTCTCGCCTTTGGTGCGGTCTGGTCCATCCATCCACAAATCGTGCCGGCTGGACACCATACTCACCACCGCCATATCTTCGCTCGAGCGGTTGCCTGGCATGCCAGACTCTCAGTGATCAAGGACCAAGGTCAGGAATGTCAGCAGCGGCAAGAGAGAGCCCATGCAACCACACAACCATCGCTTCTCGTCCACACAACGCGCACTGAAAAACTTTCACATGTTGTAGAAAGGACTCCCACACAACGACAATCAAAACACGATACCATGTCAACACCACACCATGCCCCTACTGCACGTTTGTTTATTCACAGGCCACAACTTGTGACAAGTGTATGGCCACCACGTTAATGGAGCCAGTGCAGCGGGGCCTGGTGCCTTTGGAGATGACAATGGTCTGCGATGCGCTCTGCGCGATCAGGTCGACGGCACCAATGTCGGCAATCAGCAGCGTCTCTGCATCTGCTGGCGGGTCATGCGCTGCCTGGTGCTCGACCGCCTGGTCAACGGCAACGCGAAACCCTGTCGTTGCGGTTGTCACCTGCACGGCCGCCGGGCACAAGCCAGCCCGGGCCACAAACTCCACACCCACGCGATAAGATCCACTGCTCGCCAACTGATCAGCTGAGAACACCAACATGGCGCCATCCTCGCTCGTGCTTAACAGGTGCACAGGAGACGACTCACCCAGAACCATGCGCCATGACGCTGCCGACGCCCACGTGCCCAGGACCAAGGCTGACTTCAAGGGCAAACGGAGCGAGGTTTTGGTTGTGGTACAAGGAGTAGTCGTGACTCTTGTCGTTGATGGCGTCGGCGTGGTCATGGGGGACGAGAATCGAGTGAGCGTCGCTGCCGCCGGTGCCGTTGCTGCTTCCCAAACCGCAGATGTCAGCATGGTTGTGTCCAGCGCTGGCGCAGGCAAGGGGACGACGGCACCGGCCTCAAGGTTGATGATGTTCGAACGCAGAACGAGCACATCATTGACGTGCACGTGGGCTGCCGTAAAAGTTAAGCGCAGCGGACCAGCTGGGGTGTCGCTTGATTGATTGGCAAAGGGCCGAGTCGCCTCAAAGGGAATGAAATGTGCTTGCAAGTAGCGTTGAAGTGCTGCTCGTGCATCTGAAGTCGTGGGGAGCAGCAGCATGTTGAGCGTTTGGAGGGCTGCATCGGTTGGTGCTAGCACAAGGTATGGCTCGTAGAGCAAATTCTCCAGGCCAGCCTGCCGGAGGAGGAAGAAAAAGGTGGAGAAGCGAGTCTGAGTCGTGATGACATCGGCTGGGACCAATGTGGTCCTGCTCAGCGACGGCACTCCGTCGACGAGCAGTACCACGCCATTGGCCGTGACTGCATGGTCCACCACGGTCATGCCATTGATTGTCATGGCGTTGGTGGAGGAGGAGCGGTACACACTCATGGCAGCCCCCTGCTGGTTGGTGAGAGCATTCACACCCTGCAAGGTCGCGGGCGTAACAAAACCTGGGAAGGTGTACGCAGCCACCACAGCCGCCAAAGCAGCAGGGTGACTCTGCACCGTGGTCCGCCATTCAGCTGCACGCTCAAGAGCCTCATCTGTGGGCAATACTACGCTAAACACGTGATGCTCCTCCAGCAGTGACAGGGCACCTGCTTGGTCCAATAGGCGAGCGATGCCTGCAAACCTCGCCGTGGTCCGGACAGCATCATGTAGCGTGATCAGAGACCAATCAAGAGCGGTGGAAATAGTCGGGCCATTGGTGCTCAACGGTGTGGTCTCAATGGTCTCAGTGGCGTCAATGGTGCTGTCGAGCGCCGCATCGCCTGAGGAGGCAGCAGCACCACCCACACTTGGCGCGGTTGACGCTTGGGGACTCAGTGTCGTGATGCTCGTGGCTGGTATCGTGGTGATGTGACGACCCCGCAGCGTTGCAAACGCATCGCAAGGCAGTAAGTCCTGGAAATTGATCCGCACATGAAATCTGCGTGTCACCGATAAGAAATGAGGGGGCATGACCCTTTGGGCAAGATGCAGCAGGTGCGAAGAAAAGCTAGGAACAAGGGTGGGGGTACAGCATCGAGCCCCAACTGAGGTGTGGCCTTGAGGTACTCACGTGCGTTCGACGGCAGAGAGGGCCGCGAAGGAAATGGCGGAAAGCAAAGTCTTGGCTTGAGCGCCTGTGAGAGGGCCCTGAATCGTGAAGATGCCTTCGTGTGCATTCAATTTGGTCGTGACATGATGTGCTTCAGCCACCTCGGCTGCCAAAAGAATGCGCTTTCAATGTGGCAGAAAAAAAAAAAAAGCAGCAGGGCGGCAGTGCGTGAAATCATGATGACGCATGGTAGGCTGAGGAGGCGATCTGCGATGCGAGTCTCAACTGTGGGCCCTAACCTCTCCATTCTGAAAGGGAAAAATCTGCACGTAGACGGCCGTCAAGATCTCGTCCCGGGGCTCAACAACCGCCTCAGCTAATAGCAGCGGTGTACTGGTGTGTAGATCAAAGTCGATCACACCATCTACTCCTTCAATTAGCACATGGACGGCATGAGCAGCAGACTCGGGCGTTGGGTGTGTCGCATCGCGCGGGGCTGACACGGGTCAAGCGAGCATGACACACCAGCAGCATTCAGTTGAATGTAGGCAAGGGGCTCAGCTGGGGCTTGCGTGGTCTCTAGGAGTGGGGCGAGGGGTGGTTCGATGGTCGTCTCCAGGGCATGAAGGCTTCGTGTACAGCAAGCCAGGGCGCAGACGAAGGTGATAAGGGTTTGTTGTGCAGTCATGGCGCTTGTCGTTGCCCTGAATGAGAGCGCGCCAGCAAGTCCGCACGACGAGGGATCCAACAGGATTAAGTTGGGCAGAGGGGTCCGAGGCGTGGGCTCTCGTAAAAATAATTTATAGCGTTCTTTCAGATCAGACACTGTCCTGCTCTCGTCCGTGCGTACGCATGGCTTTTGCTGCGAAGTCAGGGGGGGGGAGAGAGAGAGAGAGAGCGAGAGAGAGAGAGAGAAGAAAGATAGAACGCCAAGTCGCTTGGCCTACGCATCAAAAGAGTCGAGTGGCCAATCGACAACGCCATATCCAACGCAGAACAACCGCGTCGCCGAGCGGCACCTCGGCCCGAACCAACTTTGCCGTGCAACCCGCACACTGGCCGCCCAGCAACCCGCTATTACGACACCCAACTTTGATTACATAATCCAAACGGCGAACGCAGTGACGGACACCCCACCGGCTGACAACAGATGTTTACTACATCTGTTGACTACCACTCCTTGCACACACGTGTGTGTGTGTGTGTGTGTGTGTGTGAAGCGTTCAATTTTCTTCTGATTGGTCCGGGGGCACGATGGCCAAGAAGAAGAGTTCCAAGCTGCGGCAGCGCGCCGCAGAGGAGCGCAAGCAGGAAGAGCAGGTGCTATCACGACGCAAGGGCGCCGCCACTCAGGATGAGGCCCAAAATCCCTTTGAGCTGCAGCAGCAGCGCCGGAAGCATGACGTGTTGGGCCAGAAGGTCAAGGGTGAGCGCGGCAACAAGGCGCGTGCACGGGACGCCGCCATCAAGTCACGTGAAAAGTCCCTGCTCGTTGAGTACCGACAGCGTCACAAGGATAGTCGCTTCACTGACAAGCGCTTTGGCGAGTACAACACGGTAAGATTCGCCCTCGCCGAGCAAGTTCCAGACTCTCGGGCCTGTCCATGTTGGTGCCGACTAAAGCTTCCGCTTTCCCTCACCTCTTTAGGGTATGAGCGTGGAGGAAAAAATGCTGGCCCGTTTTGCTGCCGAGCAGCGCAAGAAGCACTCCCGGTCCAGCGTCTTCAATCTCGATGATGATGATGAGGATGCGGAAGAGTTACTCCTCACCCACAACAATCGTCCGCTCTCCGAGGCCATGGACAGTTACATTCCCTCCGATGAGGAAATGGACGAGGATGCCCAAGACTTTGGCGCGCGTGCCACCAACGCTGACATGGTCTCTCGCTTTCACTTTGGTGGTGGCGACGCTGGTGACGAGGAGGAGCAGGATGACGGCCAGCCTCAACGCAAGCGCACGCATCGCGAGATCATGGCTGAAGTGATTGCCAAGTCCAAGTCGTACAAACATGAGCGACAGCGACAACAGCAGGTCGGTAGTGCCACTAACAATCCAATGAGGCTGGCTTTGTTTTATCGTTGTAGATGCGGTCTGCGTTGTTCAATCGTGGCCCTTTTGGTCGTTGTTTCCCACACTCCCTTCAAATACCAGCCATTGGCTTTACCGTGCCAATGTTTGGGCCGCTATGGGAGGAGATTAAATTCTTGATGCTGCAAACTTGGGATGTTGGGGTTCGATGCAACGTCCGCCCCGACGTCGTCTTTTGCTTGTCAAACATACTTTTTTTTTTTTTGCCAAACAGCGCTCGAATCGCCGGATTGAGCTGGCCACGCGCCTCACTTTTGTGTTGTTTTGGTATGGACGCGTCACAGGAAACCGAGGACATGACCAATGCCGTGGATGATCAACTGAATGACATTTTGGGCCTGGTCTTTGGTGAATCCAACCGTGCAGAGCAGGTGTGTGGTTTGGCTTTGGCACAGCGTCAACACATGCGAATTCGGCGTGGGTTGTATCCAGGCTTTTGTTGGCTGCCGCTGTCGCCACGCGTTGACCGATGCGACCTTTCCTCTCGATCGTTTCTTGCTGTCCCTTTTCTCTCTCTTAGGAAGGGCGGGTGCTGGCCGCACCGGCTGACTCGACTTACGATACAGCCATTGTGCAATTGGCGGCTGACAACAAGGCCCGTGCCACGGATCGTCTGAAGACGCCCCAGGAGGAGGCCGAAGAAGCACGTGAACGCCTCGAACGCCTTGAAGCCCAGCGGCAAGCACGGTTCGGCCTGGTTTTTCTCGTTGGGTGTTTCACTTCTTGGCTGAAGACTGCAGCTCCAGAGCAACACATGCCGCGGCCAACCATGACGCGTTGCGCTCTTTCTTAGGTTGCGAGGCGAGGATCCTGAGGCAGAGCAGTCGAGCAACCTGAAGTCATCCTCCGAGTACGTGGGTGCCGGTGATGACAGCGACGCAGAGGAAGACGGAGCTGGACTTGAGCTGCTGCCGATGGGCGATGGAACTGCAAAGCTGGTGTCCAAGTCTGGCCAAGGTACATGGTCGTCTGTCGTTCCGTTGGCCCTTCCACCAGGTTACAGATACTCACTCTGTTTTCATCTTCTGATCCATTGTCATGATGTCGTAGCGGTTGACTTGAACAGCTCTGCCAAGCCGGGATCCGGCGTTGCTGATGACGATGACGAAGAGGCTAGTGACGACGAGGATGACGAGGAAGCTGAATTGGACGACAGCGACGCAGCGGACGCCTCCGAAGATGAGTTTGGTTTGGAACCTGATTTTGGCGCCTCGACGTAAGTTTGCTTGTGCCAACCTGCCGCTGGTCATGCGACGTCGTGCCCCAAATCGGTCGGCTTGAGCCTGCCCACTTCCTCACCCCTTGTTGGTATTGTTAGATCCGGAGCCCCTGAACATGAATCTGACGCAGAGGAGGACTTTGAGGTTCCCTTTGTTTTCAAGCCTGTGAGCTCAGCTGAGGACATGATGACCTTGCTCGAGGCCTATCCCATCAGCAAGCGTCGCATTCTTCTTGAGCGTCTCATTGCTTGCCACAACGTACATCTGGCTGCTGCAAACCGTGCCATCCAGGAGGTCAGTACCACGTCCGTCAAAGCCCGTCAATACCTCTTTCGCGGTTGGGCGGAAGTATCGGTCGATTCACACACTTCTTTTGCAATCTGGGCTTGTAGACGCATTTTATGGCTCTCTGGCAATGCGTGGGCCAATCGATCCAACAGGGCGAGGCGCTGAGCGCCCTTGAGCCCCTGATTTGGTAAGCAACTCGGCCCATCGCACGCACCTTGGCTGCTCCCTTCAATCAACGTACCATTGCTTACCTCCCGCTGCGTCTGGCTAATCCCACCCTGTTCCACCGTGTATAGGTCGTTATATACCCTCATGCTTCAAGTCAAGGCCGCGGCGGCGACAACAGCCCGCAATCGCATCTTTGAGCTCCACGAAAAGTAAGATGCTGTTTCCAGACCCTTCACGTGGTGCCAGCCATCATTTACGCCTTGCCACTTTCTGCTCAGTTTCTCAATAATACTTTGTTGTGCCCTCCATCAGGACTCGTGGCGGAAGCTGGCCTTCCTTTCCCAAGCTGCGCCACCTTATCTACTTTCAGATTGTCCCAGAGCTGTTTCCAGCCTCGGATCGTTGGCATGCGGTGGCTACCCCAGCCTTGTTGGCGGCCATGCATTTGTTGACCAACTGCAACGTGGCCAACATGCGCAACATGGCTGCTGGCCTTTATCTGTGCAGTTGCGCCTATGTTTACGTACAAGAGAGCCATCGCATTGTCCCTGAGGCGCTCGCCTTTTTGAACAGCTTTCTGCAGTGCTGCACCGCAGCTCCCAGCGAGGTGTGTTTTGAGCTCTGACAATGTCTTTGTCGTTGAGCACTCGAGCTTGTCAACGCCAGTGCAACTACAAAAAGCCAACATGAAAAACATGCTTTCTGCCGTGTACTTGTGTAGCAGTGGCTTTTTTTCGTGTCTCGATGCTCATGTTTGGTCTTTGCTGCTTGGGGTGGCTCGACAGGCTGGCTCGCGCCTACTTCTGCCCGCGTTTTCCCTTCTCAAGCCTGCTCAGCGCAAGAGCCTCCGATGCACCCCTGCGTCATGGAAGTTAGTTTCTTCTTTCCACTATCCTTGACGGAGCTCGACCTCGTTCTTATTCATTTTAAATCTGGCTCTCACCTGCCCTTGTTTGCGCGTTGTGCACAGAGGACTCAAACCGGCTGCCATGCCATTGGAGCGTCTGGAGGCTGGTTTCAAGGGCTGTGCGCTCGAGCAAGTCAAGCTCGACTTGGTTGCCTTGGCCCTTCAACTCACACATAAATTTGCTCGCCTCTACCAAACACATGCAGGTGAGTGTTGAGGGCTCGGTGTCCGCTTGCACAAGTTCGAGTCATTAGGGTGGACAGCAGGAGGGCTGACTGACGTTTTTTTTTTTTTTTTTTGCGGGCTTTTTTTGTTGGGTGCCACTGTGCTTTTTAGCCATGCCCGAGAGTCTGGCATGCGCTCAGGCCGCTGCGCGGCAGTTGGAGCAGGTGCCATGCCTCAAGGCCATTTGCACGCCGTTGGTAGAGTTGTTCGACGGTGAGTTTCTGTGCTTGGCTTGCATTTGTTGCCTTGATCAACGCACGTTGTCGCCACAGTTCCTCATTACGCAACGATTGCTTGTTCGAGTGCAGCTTGCGCGGGCATGCGCGATGCCGTTCGCTTTCAGGCGCACAAGCCCGTGCCTTTGGAGATGCTAGAACCCGATTACAACGCTCATGGATTCGGCAAACGCTCGGATCAAGACCAGACGGATCGTGAAAACGGTTGGTTTTGTTTGCCTGAATTTTTTTGGCAAGGGATCTTCGTGTTGTGGCACCTTCAAGCGATGTTGCCAATGGCCTTTAAATGCACGTTTAAGCCTTGTGATTTTGTCAGACGTTTTTGTTCTGTTGTGTTTGTGTGTTTGTGTGTTGTGACAAATGTTATCATGGTACACTCTGTGCCGGCTCCTTCCCATGAGCCAGGTCCAATTTTTAGCCATGAGAGAGCGAATCCAACGGGCTCGAGGGCCCACGGGATGCAAAGAGTGTTTCGCGGTTTACCTCCCGCGCGACATTTCCAGTCGTTCCGAACATGCCTTTCCTTTACATCGGTGTCCATTTCCATGTTTTGGTGCTTTTTTTTGGTGGCCTTTTCTGTGGGTCGTCATTCGTGCATGATCAACACCTGGCTCATGGACGCTGTGCTTGGTGAAATCTGGCTTGAATGCTGCAGAACGCCTCCGCCGGGAACTGCGCAAGGAGCGTAAGGGTGCAGTACGCGAGCTTCGCAAGGATGCGCGCTTCCTGTCCAAGGTCAAGCTGAATGACATCATTGAGAATGATCGTGACCGTAACCAGAGGCTCAAGTCGGCGTTTGCCACGCTACAGAGCGACCAAGCCGACTTTAACAAACGTGATGCGCAAAAACGTTGATGGTGAAAGACCCCTCAGCCACTTCCTGATTCGAACCCTAGATGCATATGTTCATCCCTTAATCGGCCCCTCATCCTTCTTTTTTAATTGACTGCTGAGCATGTAACACCTGACGGCCCAAACCTGAACTGACGCTATGTGCCAGAGGCTTGGTTTTGTTTTTACCTTGGCCTACACCGCGATTAGACAACACATTGTGAAGTAGAATGCTTTGCAAGGAAGCAACACCACACCATGTCACTCAAGACGTTTTGACGATAATAATTAAATTTTTATTACTATCTTCACTGGAATCGCGTCGAGCGCAAAGATAGGAGTAGACACAACCAGAACCAAGAACATCAATGGGGGTCAAAAAAAAAGGGAGAAATCGTTCAAAAAAAAAAAAATCGGTTCTGTTCATCATGAAGCGAAGCGGCGAGAGTGTTGCACTGACACGCACTCTACATGCGATGCTCAAGCACCCCAGAGCTCGCGAGGGCAGGTCCAGGGCTAAAGGCAAGGTCTTCGTTGTTAAAGGCCACACGCGGTGCTTGCACCGGGCGGCCCCAATTGAAGAAAATGACATACGTCAGGCTGCCGAGCATGGCCCCAACAATCGGGCCAAGCCAGTACACCCAATGCGAGTCCCACTCATCAGCAATCACGGCCGCGCCAAAGGAGCGCGCAGGATTGAGCGATGCGTTGGACCAAGGAAATCCGACGTAGGTGAGGGCAGCGTAGGCCATGCCCACGTAGATGCCTAAAGGGGCCGGCGGCACCAAGTAAAAACACAATCGAGACCGTGATGCGTGTGTGAGTCTTGCATTGGTGGTCGCTCGTTCCAGGGGCTCAACGTGTTTCTTACCACCCGCATAGCGCAGATGACCCTTGCGGTTGTCCGGGTCCAGGGTGGCCATGACGTAAAGGGCTAGGATAAAGCCGAGAATAAATTCCATGCCAAACGCCTCGCCATAGCTGGTGTCGCTTCCCTTGATGGTAGCCCCAAGTTTGATGCCGGCATCTCGGGTAGTCACGGCATAGAGTGCGGCTGTGCCTGCGATGCTACCCACCACTGCGGAGGGCCCCCCCGACGCGAGAGTTCATATCATGAGCGGGGTCGTGGAGGGCAGCGATGCGGAGTGGCAAGCGGGTGGAGCGCTAGCGGATAGGAATTCGGAGGCGTGCAAGTCTGCCGGAGCAGAGAGGCATGGAAACGCAAGTATACCTTGGGCAACAATGTAAGCAAAGGCTTGGTTGACACGGATGAGACGAGCCGCCAGGAAGCTGACGGTGAGGGCGGGGTTGAGGTGAGCTCCGCTAATCTGGCAAAAGGCATGTGTCACACCGGCGTACGCAAGTCCGGTGGTGATGGCAGCGGCAAGGGCATCAGCTGTTGTGTTGCCCTGTCGCGCGTTGAGGTAAGCACCAGTTACCAGGAAGCAGGTAACGGCCGTTGCCAGGCTCTCGGCCAAGAGGGCTTTGATGCCGCTTTTGGCGAAGATGCGAAACTTTGGGGCTGCGACAGCGAGCTTGCGCTCGCCCGAGCCGATGGAAGGCGCACCAAAGTCCATTCTTGCAATGATCTTTAGCAAAGCCCGGAAGGGGGCGAGGCAACAAGGAGGAAGAATTGAGGACCAACGCTCGAAGGAGCTCGGCCACGCGGGGCGTGCGGTTGTGTGAGAGAGGGGTAAGTGTGGGCTTGGACCAGAGATTTTGGTCGCGTCGTGTCGGGTCTAAGGACGAGGGAAAGGCACGACGATCAGCCCAATGCAGCAAGATTCTCATCAGGGGCAATAGACCACAACATCTCCCTTGAAAGCCTGTGGACAATCGTTCCTTGGCTGCCGATGATCAACATCCAGGCTGCCGTGTGATCGGCGGCAGGGACTCGACGTCGACGGCTGCCATAGATAGCAGGCAGGGAGGGGTTTGTTGACTTGAACTAACCTCTTGAATGGTTTGAAAAAGGCAGTATGCTGATTATCGGGTTTATGTTCTCTGGTTTATTCAGATTCACACAAAGTTGCAAGCTGCTTCGAGACCATGATGGAACGGCTTTCGCGTATGGGGGACAGACCGTCAGAGGTTTGATGCCAGCAGCTGGATGCAATAGCGATAACACTAAGGCAAAATAGAGATTTCTTCAACTTCATCCTGTTTTGAGAGGCACATGTCTGATGCTCGAAAGTCTGACAATAGTGTGACACACAAGCGAGAGAGAGAGAGAGAGAGAGAGAGAGAGAGAGAGAGAGAGAGAGAGAGAGAGAGAGAGAGAGAGAGAGAGAGAGAGAGAGAGAGAGAGAGAGAGTGTGTGTGTGTGTGTGTGTGTTTAACTTTTGGCGCTGGCGCGCCACCATGAGCGCTTGGGCTCGTCGCAAGGGGCGGACCGGGTCCGTTTCGGCGGATTCGGTCACGACGGGGAAGGGAGCGGGGAAGGTGCCGCAGGTGCAGTCTGGTTGGACGCAAGCACCTGTTTATTTGCTACGAAATATGAGGCAGATCCAACACAAGCTGACGCTGCAAGCGCGCATGCAAGCGCTGCAAGCGCAACAGTATCAACGGGCGGTTCGCAGTGCCGAACGACGCGGCGAGCCCGAGCCCCCCAAGCCGCCACCTCGGTTTTATCCCCGCGATGGCGGACATTGTCCTTTGCGCCCGCTGACTCGCGCTCACTGGTTTCTCGAGGAGCTTAGCTGTACGTTCAAGCTGCACGCCAGCCGATGCTGTTTGTGGTGGGGCGGGGGCAGACGCTCATATTCGTGCCCGCATGCTCCGTCTCAGGTCACAAAATAAAGCGGCGGCATCTGCCTGCCTGTGAAGAGCGCCCCAAATCATCTGTCACAGCTACAGAGCTTATACCTTGTTTATGTGACTGGGAACCTACAGCTAGGTATGTGCTTATATCTGCTTTTCTCTGTCCCACTGCGCGGCCTCTGATAACCTTTCGGCTGTCTCCCCTTGATGCCAAACTTTCTAAACAGGCGATTCATGACCGGGCAAACTCCTCGGATTGAGCGAGTGAGTGGGGTTCCGCCTGACCCTCCCCAGCGCCACACGGATGCCTGCGTCTGTGAGCTCATCCCTCTGATCAAGCACAATGTCATCAAGGACGAGGGCATCACCACGCGACCCGTGCTCTCTCGTCTGCGCTTTGCACACCAAATCCGAGCCCAACGCTTGCTGCAGGGACGCAATCGTTACCGCCGCGCCTTGCAGGCTGCCCAAGTGCCCCGTCGAAGCCTCGAGCGCTTGACGGTAGGCACTCAACGCAGCCAAGAGCCATGCGAGGATCAAGCCACCCTGCCCCACCCGTCTAGAAGTGCATCCCCCATGGCCCCTGTTTCAGAGCCCTCTAAAACTGAATCGCACCGGCAACGTCCATTGTTACGCCGGAGCCGGCAAAGTACTCGTCGCTCAGGCAATACGCCTGCGTGGGAGGGGGTGCACAGAAATTCAATACCCCTCGCGAGCCCGCTCGCCAAGAAGCGCAAGCACGTCGAGACGCCCCACGCCCTCTTCACGAGCTCTGTTCATCGTACCATCAAGTGGACCTCCCTCTTTCGCTTGGCCTGGGAAGATAGCTCGGACACGGGTGAATGTCTTCTCTGCCTACAGCGATTCCCAGATTCCACCTCCTGCCTTCTACACGTGCTGTACGTCACACTTTGCCGGATATGCGTGCAGCTTTCCGCACCCCTCCCTCTTGGCTGCGTCACACCATCACTTAACAATTTGGGGTTGTGAGATGTAAACCGCGGGCATTTATTCACGGCGCCTCATTCTCGTCTGACCTGACCGCTCCGCCACAATGACGTTGTTTTTTTGCTTCATAGACTTGACCACGGCCGTGACTGCGATGCCCACGTGCGCTTTCTCAGCCACCACGTGGAGTTGATTATCCATCCACCAGGTTTCCATGGATCGAGCGCATACCTGCGAGATACAGGCCGACGGTCTTGAGAGTCCCGATACCGACACCAGTCTAACTTTGACTACTGCTACACGCCAGCGTCGCCTACCAGCGCCTCTGCGTCTTATTGCTCAAGTGGAGGCCTTGACTGCGCGAGCTGATTTGACCTTTGGTGCCGACCATTCGTTCTTTTGGCGCTCTTCGCGGCCCCTGTTCATCAACTTTGCCCGAGAGGACGACCACATGCTTGTGCAGCCTGACAGCGAGCACGATGACATCAAGATGATGGAAGCCTTTCCCACCCCTGCCCCTTACTCGCACATTACTTGTATGAATAAGCCTTTTTTCACGGCGCGTGCCGGGCTTCTGCAGTCCTCACACATGGCCACGAACGACTTTGAGCTTGAAATGCCTCAGGCGTTGTTGCGCGAGGCGCACATGGGACGAGAGGAGTTGGGCCAAATACAAGATATGGCTCAAGGCGAGCGGCTAATTGCGGGACTATGGAATGACTTTGTTGAGAGACAGAATGCACGTGGTGATTTGGACGTTGGCCCCATGTTGGTTCGCTTTCTGGCCCAGCACAATGACTTGTTTTGTCAAGCCGGGCTTCGCGTGGCGGCCAAGCTGCACACAGCGTTGGTTGTACGGGCCGTGCCCGGCATTCTTGATCAGTGCCAGCCTGACTTGACCGCTGCGTTGGCTCAACTATCATGATGCCTGCTAGCAGCTGCAGGCCTTCAATTTAGTGGCGATGGACCAACGCTGCTTCTTTGAGCAAATAACGATTCAATTAACAGCAATAGTTGCTTTTCTCGAAGCGTATGTGTTAATGCCACAAATAAAGAGATGTCACAACCTTGCTCAAATCGCCCACGACAACGGCTGGCTGGATAGCAAGCAGCCAAGGGCTAGCTGCTGACAATGCAGTGACACGGTGATCGGGCGCAGCCCGAAGCAACACATCAGCCTCTGGTTCAGGCGCGGCAAATATCAGCACTGCTTCAGGGTGAAAGCACAGAGAAGCACAGGAGAGAAAAGAAGATGGAAAAAGAGTTGGAGACAGCGGGGAGGAGGGACGAAGAACGACGCAAGACGGCGCAGCGCCTCAGTGGGGCACGAGGTGCGCAAAGCGAGACTCGTACAAACCGTCCTCATCTTCCTCGTCCTCTACACATCAAATATGGTCGGAAAAGACACACAAATCCAGGGCAAGTGCGTGAGCCCACCGGGTTTGGATACACGTCGGGCCGCTGGGGAGGCAGTTGGATGGCACTACGACTGACCTTCTCGGATCAGACCAAATTCGGGTTCGGGCACTGCCCGGCCGGAGGACATCATGTCATCGTCGTCAGCTCCAAACACAAAATCATCGTTTTGGTCAAAGTTGACCAAATCATCTGAACGTACATGTCCCGTAATAGTTGCACAAAAATGAATGAGACAGAGACATGGACACAGATACAGATGCAGATACAGATACAAATCCGAGCAATGGCGTGGGGACGCATGACCACGGACACGAAGCGAGCCAGACACCAGATCGGTGCTATTGTGCGCGAGAGCTTGGTCAAGCCTCAGCTACGTACCTTCATCATCCAGACGCAGGCCATGGCGGCGGGCCTCAAAGTCATCATCGTGCTCATGCTCTTGCTCGTAGAGGTCCACGTCGTCAAGCGCATTCTGGTCCGGCTCGCCAAGCACCATGTCCAACCAAATGCCGTTGTGAAACTGGAATTGCTTGATGCGGATCTCAGCTGCCCAGTGCTCATCACACTCTGCGACAATATCCAGGGCACCCGCCACCACCTTGCGAATGACATCGTTGGTGTCGTGCATCAGGTCCAAAAGATAGGAGACGGCCCGGCTGTGTTGCAGCACAACGCGCCGGGTGGACGTGTAGAACAAAAGCTTGTTCCAGACGAATACAATCTAGCATGCCAAATAGGGCCCAGGGCAGCAAGATGCATCAAGTTGACAGTTTATCAGCCCAGAACATGGCTCTCTCCAGATTGCCAATAATGTTGGTGAACGATCTGACCTGCAACACAATCTCGTCATCTTCTTGTTTCTGCTTCAGAAGCTCGATGAAGATTTCGACCAGCCCGCTCTGTGCCACCAAGGGCGCGCAAGCAGGGTCGGACAAGATGGTGCCCACCAGAATAACAACCTGGTCATCCCAGAGCAGACGTCAGGCAGCCCAGTTCAGCGTCAAGAAACAATAACACACAAGAGATGTGCCACCTTGGGCACAAACTCGAAGGCAAAGGACAGGGTCAAGGTACGGCAACGCGATGGGTCGCACCTCCAGGACAAGGTCATCCTCGGCAACGCCGGGCTGCAGGATATCCCGCATCAACGGAATCAAGTCGTACTCGGTCACCAATGCTTCAAAGTTGAACTGATTGATCAAGTCACGATGAGCCGCAGGGATAGAGCACTACGCACCCGGCATTTGGATGTGCGGCACGCACAGCAGTCACGTACATTTTCAATGTCTAGCTGAGCCAGGATGCCCACGAGCTCAACCAGCATGTCAGCATCCTGATGACATGCTTGGATCTCTTTGCCGAGGGGGTCGATAAAGTCCAGCAAAAGCTCCTAGTGGAGTACGGCAAGCACGCAGCAGGCGGTTTTGACCATCGGCAAGTGGAGTACCAGGCATTCACATAGCAACACGGGAGCATGTGGGCGAACCTTTGTTTGCTCGTGCTGACAAAGTGTCCGAACAAGCTTGAGCAGGACTGGATCACGGACGCGCAGGCCACGCTTGAGAAGCAACTTGAGTCCCGAGCCCTCGCACATAATCTTGGCATTACGATAGGATTTGGCTAGGTTAATGGCCAGAGCCACAGGTTCCACCTCCACATACTCGGCCTCGGACGTGAGAATCAGGCGCATGACCTGGGCAATTTAGACAAGAAGGATGAGTCGGCAGTTCACATGTTTCTTCCCTCTCCGCACGCGCAAGTAGGGAAAGCGGTGAGATACTGGCTGCAAGAGGCGAAGGACGCACTGAGGGGATGGTTTCCGTTGCCCCAAATAATGGCAGGGTATCCTCGTCCAACGACAGGTTGTACAAAAGCGTAACCAGCAGCCCAAGCTGCACCTACAAAAGCCAATGCGGTGATTGTGAGCAAGAGAGTAGGACGTCTGGAGAGGTTACCCACTTGGTCAAGGGCGTACCTCCGGTTCGTCCAGAAGCTGTGACAGTCGAGGCAGGAGGCCCACATCGATCATTCGCTTTCGCAATTCTACCAAGAGTTGGCATGCACGGCATTGAGCTGGGACAACGTAGGGAGGCGCCCTACATGCCATGCTGTTCACGTACCAGGCTTGCAGCTGAGGTTGAGCAGGAGGCGCAGAGAGGTGGTTTGGAGCGGCTCGCACTCGTGAGGAACGAACTTGGCCAATTTGGTGACAATATCATGCTCAATCATCTAGTATCAGGAATGGGTCAGACAAGCAAACACAAAAGCAACACAGGTCGTCGTGGCAAAGCGGGCGAGGCATGCGCACCACAGCGGTATTCTCTTCAAAGACGCTCAGCTTCTTCAAGAAGGTAACGACGAGTGTAAGAAACTCATAGTTCATGCGGTCCAGCAGGGTCACCAATTGAGGGACCAGTCCCTTGCGAACCATCTGTCCGAGGGCAATGCACACCGTAAGCACGGCCGTCACGGCGAGGGCATGTGTGATAGAGGGCGAAAAGGACGAGACCTTGATTTCGGTTTGCGTGTCCTCAGCCAAGTTGAGGAGGAGGTGCAAGGCCACATATAAGAGTTGCTCCTACGCTCAATCATGGCATGCGATCAAGTAAGATAAACGGTCTGCGCCTTGGTCTTGCGCTCAGGCTGGCGCACAGATGCAAGGACAAAGGTGGCGGCGTCGGCACATCAGTTCAAACCTGCTGAAATTGCTGCTCGGTCATCTTGTGTAAAGCTGCATTCAAATCCTTCAAACAGCGCGCAGGGTGAGCAGTGGGAAAAGACAAGACAAAAGATTGGCCATGGTGGCACGCACGACAACAGTTTGCAAAACACAGGCGAGAGCCAGTGCAGTGGGACAATCCAAGTGCTGGGCTCACCTGCTCTGTGAGTTCACCCTTCTCGAGTTTGCGACGTCGCTTATCGATGGCGCGTTGCCACATGGTGTATCGCTCCATTTCCTGTTCAACTATTTTAACGCAGGTGGCACCAATTTTGAAGTGCGAGACGACGGGATGGAATTCCGAATAGCTGAGGGTGATGCAGACGAGAGTGAGAGCGTGAGTACCGGCGGGTATCTCTCCAAAGGGATGTTAGAGGCGGTGTCAGGCAATGACCTGGAGAAAAAGAAGAAGATGGAGACGATGTTGGTGGTCAACTGAGGTGACTTGAGTCCGTCCTCGCGCATGACACGCGCCAAAGCTCCCAGCATGGTTTCATTGTGAGTGAGCTCAGCCAGGTTTTCTGGAGAGCGCACCAACTGGACAAGGGCATGGTGGCAAAGGACAAATGAGCACAGGCGACACGCATGTTAGGGGCCGTGGTCTCGGAGGCAGCATGAGCGTTTGAGCGCGGTGCGTACTTGAAGAATTAGGGCGGTACCGCGAATCTTGCTCTTGGTGTCGTCGTAAAGCATTTCGATGTAATCATCAATGTCCGCCAGGCGGGCTTGTTCTTTGTCGGCCGCTTGTACCAGCATTTGGCGTTTGGACTCGGCACGCTCAGCGGCTTGCACGTTGTGGCCTGTTCACGCGTGCACGGGGGTGAGCGGGAAGAGACCGTGGTGATACCTTGTTTGCAATACAGAGGTTGGGTAAGAAGAAAGCGGCGTACCGCTGGCGCGATTGCGCTGCTGTAAAAAGGCCAAGAGTTGCTCGACCTCGCCCAGCTGTGAGGGCATGATGTACTGCCGGCATGGGAAGTGGTGTACAGTTAGGTAGGCGGGTCTTTCAGGAAGAGCTGACTGCTGGCTGAGCATGTCAAGGTATCCGGGAGACCAGCTGCCCACCTTGCACTTGGATAGGATGCGTTGTGCGAGCGCAGCTACATCAGTCTTTGGTGTGAGAGCTGGTACACGAATCCTGTGAGCCAGAGCCCAGGTCATGAGAACGAAATTTGGGCCCAGGGGCCAAAGGTGGGCAAACTTGATGGACGCTTGGGAATGTGCAAGCAAGAACATACTGTTTCTGACAAAGGGTACGATCAGCAAGGATCGACCCGCCATGCTCGGCGATAATCTCAGCCTCAACCTCATAAAAAACGACCAATGCCGAATCAGTCGGATGAACTTCCACGTAGCCCGCTTTGGCGCGGCTGTGGTTGGGAGGGGTCGTCCGCCAGAAGTGCAGGTGAGGGTCAGGTCAAAAAGCTGGCAGCACCATGAGATGCTGATAGCACGTCAAACGCCAGCTTACCGCCGTAGCACTTGCTCTTCATCCATGGCTGAGGTTGGCTGTAACTCTAGGCGGGGGGGGTTGGTGGGGAGAGATCCCCCCCGTTGTCGATCAAGTCGGTGAGGCGGACGCAGCTCGCCCTTGGGGCCTGCAATTCAATCCTGCAGTTCCAGCGCCCCTGTCCTCGAATGACACATACCGGTGCCACCACACCCACAACGCTGTTATGGCAGGTGACTGACACCACGATCCACTGTCACTTGCTCGTAACCAGAGTCAGCGACACCGCTGCCGCCTCTGAATCAAGAACGCGATGCCGCTGCGGCGCCCTCTCTCTCCTTTCTTGTGACTCTAGAAGCGAAAAAAAATTCATTGGCTCAGGTAGCTTTCGCCTCTCTCGTTTACACACTTCAAACTGTTTTTCTCTGTTATCGCATTACTTTTGCGACCAACTTGTAACCTTGGCGCTTCGTGTCTCTAACCTTATCTGCTCCCGTCTGTCAGTCTCTCTGCGTTTCGTCGAGTTTCGCTGACAACCATTTTGAACAAAACACTCGTTCTCAACATTTAAAAAATTTCCTCAAAATTTTGAGAAAGAGAGAGAGAGAGAGAGAGATTTTTGATTTTGATTCAACGGCGGTCACGCTGCGGGGCAGCGGGCTTTGGGGTGGCAATCGTGCAAGATGGCACAGCGGTTGGAGCAGTTGCGTGGAACGGCAGGTGGGGCTGGCTCGCGTCGGGGGTCTTCGCTGAATGCATCCGCACTGGGGGTGGATATATCGCATTATGAGGATTTGAAACAGACCGAGCTGGGGCCCCGCGCTCGTTTCTTCCTGGCCGCCACCGATCGTTGGCTCAAGTCCATGGCTCGGCACTCCAGGTGAGTCTTTGTGCATTTTTGACCTATTCATCTTTGCCCTCACACTGTGGTACACTGTGAAATTTGGGGCTGTCGCTGCACCTCTTCCTCAACAATGCCATCGCACTTGGTTAGCTTTGATGCGTTGCAAGATGCTCGCCCTCACTGTATTGCAGAGGAGCATGCAGACACCTTTCGGTCGCTGTACGACGAATGCCGGCGCAATGATATTGATAACATCAAGGTTTGCTTTTGTTTTTCCCTCTCATGCCCCTGCCTTCTTAGTCAAGCCCATGGGTTGGATCTAAAAGGATTATGAACGGGAGGATTCAGGCGGAGCTCGGGTCATCCCTGCCTGTTCGATACGGGCATGACCTCGCTAATCTCGAGGCTCCTGCTTTCATAATGAATAGAGTGAGCTGGACCTGCTGCTGCGCGACAATGGCGTGCTGACAGCGTTGAACGAAGTGGATAAGCTTCACGAGTCGACCAGCAAACGCACCACTCGTCGGTGGGTTGCCAGTTCTCGCGCCCACGATCGTGGGCCTTTTGGCCGAGGCGCACACAACGCCAACTTGCTGTGGCACGTTTATTGGGAACTGATATGTTGTGGATTTGGTTGCTACAGGTCATCGCTGATGGCGGATGGGCGCCGGTCTGGTGTGACTGCGGAGGAGACACGCCAGATCGTGCTGGCCAAGCGCTACGCTCGCGCCCGCGACGCCAAGGTGGCCTTGGAGCAGCAGCTGGCCGAGGTACGGTCCAGGACCCACTAGACCTTTTGTTCTTCTGTCTCTTGTCTGGCGCTGAAGCCTTCATGTCCGGCACGCGCGAAAGCGTGCTCGGATTAGTCACACTGGGTCTGCATCGACGGCGAGGTCTAATGGATACCTTACTTCCCTAGGTTCGCGCCGAAAACGAGCAGCTCGTGACTGCTCTTGAAGAGCAAGCCAAAAGCAAGGCTGCAGACGCTGCATCAGCTCGTGTCGAAGCCGCGTCAGACAAAGCCAATGCCCTTTCCCAGGTGCGTCTGCCAAGCCCTGTTTTTTTTGACTTTCATTTTCTTTTTTTGTCTAGGCTGTGCTCAATCCAGTGGCTCGTTTGTACTTTGCAGGCTGCACAAGTGCTTGAGGCAGCATTTCCACCAACAAAGCGTTCCAAGATGGAGCAAATGGCCGTGGATCTCAAAGCCATCTGAGTTGGGCGCAAGGCGCGCGTCCTGCTGGCGTGCTCTCAAGTGGAGTTGCATTGCCACGGCCTGTGTGTGTTGTCATGTTGTTCTCGTGCCGCTATGCGGTGCCTGCTGCTTTTTGATTCCTCGTTGTCGTTCTGTTGGTCTCTTCTCTTCTTTCATGTTTGTCCAGAAAACGCTCAAAGCCAATCCTTCTGGTCTGTTGCGTATACCGGCCTCGTTTGACGTCGGTGAGCTTGGTTTCAATGTAGAATAGAAAGTCGGTCTTTCCACCATCATTAAAAAAGCATGGTTGAATTAAAGGGTCATTTATAAGAAGCAAAAACCAAGAACCACCAGCGTGCGCGAACAATATAAAGCCGAGCGCAGAGGCGAGCGCAACTGACGCAGGCCAAAAAGTTCAGGGTGAAAAGGCACACCCAAAGCGTTGAGATGGAACCATGATCAAAGCCGAAAAGCAGGTCCAGAACGAACGAAACAACGACAAAGGAAGGCCCCACAGCTACTGGCCGTCAAAAGCAAGAAGGGTTAAAATGGAAGGACACGGAGGGGTCAACGCAAGGCAGACGTCATTGTATCTGCTACGCGGCGATCGACCCCACAGACAATGCATGCACAAGCATGCAAGTGGAAACAGGGAGGCGGAAGGGGAAGAAATCATAAAAAAGGGGGAAAAAAAAAAAAAAAAAAAAAAGACTGGTCGCCGAAGTGCAGAGCTAATACAAGGAGGCTTGGCGAAGTTCCACACCAAGGTCCACGCGCGATTCGGAGCGGACTTTGTTCTCATAGCATGAGCGACGCAGGACCACAAACAGATAAATGGCCAAGCCCAAAAGAATGGCACCTACGGAGAATTTGTGAGTGGCGGAAATCAATGCGAGAGAGCATTTGAGACACAAGACCAAAGGGCATGAGTTGAAGAGAGTGCCCGTCGTTTGCTTGAACGTGGCCATGGGACCAACCTCCAACAGAAGCGCCCACAATGATGGCGATGGGGCGCCAGTCGCTCTTCGAGGTGGTCGTAGGCTCAGCTGCGAGCACGGTACACAGAACGTATGAGCCGATACACAGCAACACCAGGCTGGTTGCGGGTCTGCACCTAGAAGGCAATGGCAGGTACGTACGTTCTGTATAGGTGGCATCTGTGCTGGAGGCCGTCACGTTGCCTTGGAGGGTGATGCAGGTGTCACTATTGTAAACGCTGAAGCGAATCACCTTGAGCTCTTCGCGCAAGATGTTATCGCAAGTAGTGGGCGTCGCAATGGCTTCAAAGGCTTCCTGCAGAATCGACAACAAAGAGTTCCGCAGCATTATAAACAAGAGATTGCTTGCATTCATAAAGACCAGACAATAAATGGCCCGAGCTGGCGCGGGGCGGCGCGTGGGAGAAAGCAGCAGAGGATGGCGATCAACGAACCACCAGAGCATCCTCCACCCCAGAATCGGTCTGAAATTGGCCTTTGAAGCGGATGGCCTGCGAGTTGGCAACCAAGTCCAGCTGCGCAAACTTGGCTCTGCACGGGTGGCATGCACACACGGGGTGGTATCAATGACAGGCAAACGGCTGATTTGCATGGGCCCAAGGCGGTGATAGGAGAGGCTGGTGCCGTACGTGGAAACGTCAGCCGCGTTCATGTCATAATGCTGACGCAGAGCGCTGCCAATGGCAACGAAGAGTTCGTTGGCATCAAAATCATCCGCGGCCACTCCGATCAGCAAAAGATTAAAGACGAGGTAGCGAGTGCGTCGATCCGTGTTGTCCACATCTAAACGATTCCAGTGCCGCAATCAGACATGTGCAAGGGCACCAAGGGAGCGGGGCGAGATGCACGCATACAAAAATCGATAAAACGCACCAGGCACGATGACGTTGCGGCTAGTGGTAATGGATGATGCGCTGCTGGTGCCAATTTGTGCGTGACAGCTGATGGATAGCACACGCACCTAACACATGGGAGCCGCAAAGCAACAGGGCAGCAGAGCAGGAGGATAAGTGTTGGCCTACACCGTACAGCTGCCTGCCTGACGAGATCAAACGCGCGCGCGCGCACCGAGTATGTCTGGGAGGAGGCAAGGGTGTCGATGGTGATGGTCTTGGAGATTTGGCCTTGATCAGCAGGAAACTGAGGCTCAACCGTGACCACTGTGACATCGGTGACGTCGCCTGATTTTGTAAAGGTCACGTTGAACATGTCCACAAAGTGGTGCGTTGTGTCAGCTGAAAAGGTGACTGTTACTACCGAGTTGCTGATCTGCAGTACAATTAAAAAAAAAAGGCTGTGAGCGCGAGCAGGGCTAGACTGCAACAGGTGCCTGGCGTAAGACGAAGAGGATGCAAGAACATGGCGCACCAGCTCGGTGATGGTGGCGGCGGGTGGGGCCGAGGTGGCCACCACAGCTGGCTCAAAAACTGGCCCAATGGATACTTCTTCTGGAGTCGCGCCGGTGGCCTTGAGCCGAAATTGGTAGGGGGCGCAGGCAGCCAACGTGATGAGTGCGTTGGCAACATCGCACAGGTTATCTGCTGTTTCGCAAACGGTGGCGTTGCTCTCGTTGATAATCTGACCCAAGCCAAAGCCGCCAAAGGCAACAGGTTAGGCCGGCAGATGTCAGCGGAAAAAAGAAATTCAGAAGCAGAGACCGTCTTTATAGCCTCCCTGGATGAATGCCATTCGACGGCTGCCTGCTTTACAACCAATTCAATCCTCTCTCTGTCTCTCTCTCTCTTTCTTTCCTTCGCTCGAACGCTTTTGACGGCTTGGCATGCGACATGCAAGCTCAACAAGGACGCAACGGGTGGCGCAGCACCAAGCGGAAGGCAGAAGGTACCTGATAAACGGTGGCATCAGTCACTTCGACCCAGGAGAGGACACAGCTGGAAGAGTTGCAGATCGAAGAGGCGGAAAGCGCGCCTGCAGATCCAACTGTACAAGTCACGGAGCCAGGACCGAGGTGAGAGATGGCTCTGAAGATGGAGTCGAGTGGGACACGTGGTGAGCGAGATACATACGTGCAGCAGCGGGAGCCAACAAGGCGGCCAGCGAGAAGAGTGCCGCCAACATGACGCCAGGGCCGTGTTTCGGTGCCATCGCTCGCGCTCGTGTCTTCACCAAAACGCTCAAACCAGGCTATCAACCCTCGGACCCAGCCGTCGCGCCTCTGGCTTGCTCCTAACCGATATCACCACAAGCAAACGGCCAAGCAAGATCAATCCAATCCGCCAGCGAGGACCAGGCTTCGGGCATCAAATGCGCTGCGGTCGAGCAAACTCGAGAGCGGATGAGCTGGCGGCGATGCCTCATCGACGTCACACACATACACACACTGTAGAGAGAGAGAGAGTTTGAGAGAGACAGAGATTCAATTGCGATAGTGTAAAAAGAGTCACACTATATTACCCAAAATATCTGACATTCACGGTCCTCTTGGCGTCCTGGGTCATCAGGAGCATGTTGGTGTGGATACATGATCAGTCAGTGCAGGATATCAATACTATTATGTGACAAAAACAAGAGATAATGAAGAAAAATAGCGTAACATAGTCAATAGACTAGCAAAAACGGTTTACAAAATGTAGAAATATATCAAGAAGTATACGGTCTACCGTCAGTAGTCGAAGAGGAATATCAAGTTGTTGAAGCAGGTAAGGGTGTAACGTCATTGAATTTGGGAATTTCAATTCAGGGGGGCGTTCGCGTTCGCGATCTGCACACGTCGGGAAGGTACGTTGATGTGTCGGCGCCGCCAGTTGTTGGGTGTAATGGCGCTGTCTTGGTCGTGTGTCTTGTGGGCCATTCTGCGAGAAGCGGTGGTGTTGGCCTGGGCTGGCTACAGGTGGGGCTCATTCGGGTTGAATGCGAATAGGGGTTGGTTAAACTTGAAAAAACCTGCAGCCGGAGGCGGGGTCGGGTTGACATCACCCGCGTCACCGTGAACCATGGGCAACTGGACCAGCTCGGATACCTCGCTGAGCCCCGACAAGCTAAACGAGTATCAGGAAGTCACTTTCTTCACCAAGAAGGAGATTCTCTACGTTCACCGAAAATATCAATCGCTGGGTGGCATTGACAATGGCCGCCTGTCTCGCGAGAAGGTACGCCTTCGCTCTCTGCGCCTCTCAGCGAATCGCTGGTCGCGTGTTCCATGCACAGCGGTGGGCATTGGCCATGGCAGAGCCATGCTTTGTGCGCTGGCGAGGCTGAACAAGCATGGGGTGGGGGTCGCAGGTTTTGTTGATGCCTGAGCTGGCTCAGAATCCCTTTAAGGATCGAATCTGCAAGGTCTTTTCCGAGGACAACACGGGTGACTTGGCCTTTGAAGACTTTCTCGACATGCTCTCCGTCTTTAGCGAAACAGCCACGCGTGACGTCAAGTCCTCTTACGCCTTTCGAATCTTTGGTTTGTATCCTTTCATGCTCGAGCTTCGCCTCTGCGTCTGTACTCTTTTCGCTGGTTTGTGCAGCGCCCCGTCCGGCTGTGCGCCAGACTCCCGCTCATCCTTGCCTTTCCATGCACTCGGGCCTTGAACACCTTGGTTGCAGACTTTGATAACGACCTCTATCTCAACAAGCAAGATTTGATCAAGACCATCGAGTTGCTCTGTGGCCGCGACGAGGATGGCCTGCAACCACACGAGGTGGAACTCATTGCCGACAAAATTCTTGAAGAGTCAGATCTCGATGGAGATCATCAGCTCAGCTATGTCGAGTTTGAGCATGTGGTGGAGCGTGCCCCCGACTTTGCGGAAAACTTTCGCATGCGCATTTGAGGACACGACTGGGGCGCGCTGCGCGCAGTGCATATTGTATCAGGCCCGGTTGCCTAACCTTAACCCTTGCGTTTTCTTTTTGTTGTTCTTGTTATAAGTGAAACCATCACCTACTCAACGACGCGCGTACGCCCTACCTTTGGGGCTCTCCCACCCACCCGTGCCTCCTGTGCATGACACATCGAGCAGAACCGTAGCCGTGCACGCATATAGAGTTGATTGATTATTGGGACAGACACACGAGTTCTACTATCTCGAAAAGAAAGGATGCGTTGGACGCTTGTCAAAGGGGTATATCAAAAAGTCTGTGGTACACGAGTCTAGCTGGGCGGGCGTGGGCGTCAGCACGGCTGCGGCCCTTGAAGTGCCGCTAGGTGAACAAGCTCCGGAATGTCAAAAACTTGTTGGGCTATTCCAGGCAGCAGGCAGCGCGGCACGGTCAGGGGGTTGCAGCGGGGACTGCAGTTCCAAGCGCAAAGCCAAGCAGGGAAGCGCGGGCCGTGGGCAGGCATACTTGGTCAATGGCGATGCGGTGGTCAAGTGCAAAGTGCTTGCGCAAGAAACCTCGAAGCTTGGGAGAGGGGCGATCATAGGCACACTTCGACGCTGTCCACTGCTGATCCGCCAACATGGTTTGGAACAGCTCCAAACCCATCCCACATCGCTGATATTCTGGCAGTACAAAGAAGTCCAGGACGCATGGGCAGTGCTCATGCGTCACCCAGCGGCTTCGTTCGTCCTATGGAAGGGCGAGCGTGTGGTGGGTCAGGGTGTGAAGCGGTAGATTTCTGCAGGCAGGGTACACGAGCATGGTTCGATAGAGCGCACGGGGAAGCGTTTTTTCTTATCAGTGTGGAACGCACCATGAGGTATAGAGTTTTAGGGCCCACTTTAAGGAGGCCAATAAAGGCATCAGCAGCGTCCTCTGCGCGGCGGAGCAGATACAGCGTTTGCTCAGGGTGCTGGCTCAAAAGGGCACAAGAGGTGATGGGGGCGAGCAGACGCTGGGCGTGCGCAGAGCCGCGTCCAAGTGCATCGATGGAGGCCACCGTTCTAACATGTTGGCCAGCTCATGGTCAAAATGAGCCCAACAAGAGAAGAGCAGCGCCACAACTGCCAGGTCATGCACGCGAGCCTGTGCGCCGCGGGCGTAGGCATCATCCAAGCATGCATTTACGTACGATTCATCAGCGCGGGACAGAAGTGCAGCCGTGACGCGCACAACTGAGCGCTGAGTCTGTCCAACCATGGGTACTGGCTCTGGGGTTGCAAAAAGAAGCTGGTACTCCAAACGATGGGATCCACCTGCTCGAAGAAAGGGCGGGCCTGTGTCAGTCTCAAACGCAAACAGCCCAATCGGAGCCACCGACCACGTCCACACAATGCCAGTGCTTGAGGGAACTCGACCCCGCCTCCCCCACCCAATGCCGGTTCAAGTCTCAGGAAAAGGAAATGCCGGACGTCGGCGCATCCCAGATGGCATGGAAAGCGGCGGCAGCGCAGGGAGGCAAGGCAGGGAGGCAAGGGAGGTGGGCGGCAGACCCAGATCGTACCGTCTAGAAGGCAAGGCCAAATTTTTTGCTCAAATTTGTCAAATTGAAGGAAATACTGTAGGTAAGTGTTTATTTTTCTTCAAAAAGCTACGTGAACGAGGTATTGAAAACGACAGAAAGTCAATGTTCTGGCTCAAAAGCGTCTTACACAGTTGTTCAGGAACAACAATTGTTGTGGGCTGACAACACAAAGACGGATACAGCAACATCCTAATATACATCTACATAAAGTATTGCTACGAACATTAATAAAACGTCGCTTACATGTATAACTACGTCAGTAACTTTCTTCACAGCGGATAATGTCAGACAAATGGCTGATTATGGTGACTGCCTTCGCGCGCTGCGTTTCGGTCCATTTCGTGCTTCGCTGTGCTCGTGTGCAGGTCTGAACGTTTTGAACGCTGGAAATGGCAGTCCGATGGCGCGCTTAACGCTTCCGGCCATGCGATGTGAAGCGGGTTGAGAATGATGTTGGAGAGTTGGTGGGGGGGGGGGGTTAGGGGCTGGGGTTTGAGTATGCTTGGTCGTGGTCACAGCAGAGGGAGGTCGACGGAGATACGGCTGATGAAGAGTCCGAGTGCTCGTACACATGACGCGGAGCTTGCCCCCCCCTTTTTTTGTTCATGTTCTCTTTGTTGGGGCTTGTTTCGGTTCTGAGGCACAAGCTTGCTCACAGCGATCGTTGCTGGCTGCGTCGGGTGGCGCCCTTAGTTTGGACACGAGCTTCATCTTTGCCAATTCTCCGACGCCATCGGCATGTGGGGCTCGGGCATGGGATGGCGCGCAGCGCTGGTTCTGGCGCTTCTTCTTGGGGCAGCACTTCTGGTTGCTCCGAGCCATGCTCAGACGACCGACCCTACCTGCCCAGCTGGCTCCCATCCGACGACTGTTGACAACGACTTTGAGGGCGACTACTACATCTATCGCCCGAGCAAAGCGATTAAAAAGTATCGCCATGAAGGTCCGTTGTTGTTTGGTTGTTTGGCTGCTTGATTGAGGCTGCGCACAGCGTTCTGAACTGATTGCCGTCGAATCTTGCCATACGTTGAAAGACTTTGAAGCCAGCACTGACTACGCCATCAAGGTGCTGAAGGATCGAGCCGCACCCGTTGCCATCGTGGGTGTCCTGTTCAGCTTTTGTATTCTCTTCTGGGCCTGTTGCCGGTGAGTTTCGAGACACGATCTGGAGGTTGCACACGCATACGCATGACCCTGCCTCGAGCTCAAGAATCTTGCGCCCCCGTACAACACAGGTGCTGTTGCAAAGGATGCCACATTAATCAGCGACAAGATGTCAACCGCGGCTGTCGCCTTTCCCTTTTTGTTGCTGCCATTGGTACGGTCTCGCGCCGGCCGGGAGGGCAGACTCCCAAGGCATGACGGCAGGCCAGGTCGCATGAGAGAGTGGAGAGAGGAAGGGGAGATCAGAAAAAGCAACAGCAAGCCCCACCACCACCACCACCACCATGGCACTGACAACCACAACAGCAGCCGGTTCCGCCACCCGTCTGATGATGTGTTGATTCGCCTTTGGCAGGACTGGTTGCTGGATGTCTGGTCATGTGCATCATGTCTTTGCACAGCGATCGCGAGCAATCCCACGGTTTGTGAACTTGTAGCATCAGCTTCAGCCACCCCTTTCAATCCTAACCCTGAAGGGTTGGACAGTTTTCATCAGCTGCTTTGGTCCACGTTTTGACTCACTTTGGTCACACGCCTGGATTGTGTTTGCAATCTCACAGCCATCAAGGCCATTCCTGAAACCGTTGACCTCTTTCTGAACTTTCCCGGCGAGGCTCTCAACGCATCCAAGGACCTCGTGTTGACGATCGAGTACGTCACCAACAACCTCACTGAGCTCAGCACCCTCTACCCCGATCCAGATATTCAAGAGTTGCAGCAACTCATGCAACAGGTTGAGGATGAGATCAACGATGCCATTGACCAGATCCAAGAGCCAGATTTTGATGACATCCGCTCGCGAGTACATGATGTCACTCGCTACGATCGTGACCGTTCACAGTGGTGGCGCGTCATTTTTGGCTTCTTCTTTGCCCTCCTTTTTGTTGCCAGTACGTGTGTTGCCTTGCCTCGAGCCAACATGTGTTGTTGATGTGCGCCTGCCTGACCATTGGTCACGACGCTCCCGTGTCTCCTGCAGCGGCCCTCGCCATGTGGAACGCCTTTGCGCCGGCCACCACCTTCCGTCCCAAGGACAACCCCTGCTGTCAAGTGTTTTCTACTTGCATCTCCATTACCTCCCTTGTTGTCCTGTTTGTTCTGTGGATCGTCGCCGCTGCCGTGCTCTTGTAAGCCAAAATGCCAAGGCACTGCCAGGCAGACTCCGCATATACCGCTCGTGTAGGTGCAAGCCTTGCTCACCACCCCGCTGATCATAATATGTTGCAGTTTGTCCACTGTTTCCAGCGACTTTTGCTATGAGCCCACTGAGAACTTCCTCAAGGTAGATGGCGCCGCCGGTTTGGCATCGGCCTCGCGCCATCTGACAAGCGCAGTTGTGCCAGCGTGCGGTGGCTGACAGTGCGTTTGCTTTGATAGGTTGGCAAATTGGAGAACGAGGATGTGGCTCGCTTCTTCACCACGTGCGGCACCAATGCCACTGTGCGCAACTGCTACAACCCCTTCTATGACGAAATCAACGTGAGTGTCGCGCTGGACCACCCCACTCCTGAGTTGCTGTTGTGGTCATTTTACTGTTGCTATGCTGCTTCAGGATCTGCAAGACGTCATCCAAACGGCTCAGGAGCAGTGGTCCAGTCTTGAAGGACAGATCAAGGGTAGCGATAACTGCGGCGGCAATCAGCAGTTGTGCGAGGTGCGTGTTATGGCCAACACACACACACACACACACACACACACACACACACACACACACACACACACACACACACAAATATCTGCTCATGCCACTGGATTCTGACCGCGCACAAAAATTGTTGCAATAGGTTGTGCATGACATCGACGCGTCAATCAATGTGCTTGAAAATAAGCTGAATCGCTTCATCACCATGTTCCTGGGCTGCAAGACCGTGAACGAGCGGTACCAGGCGGTTGTCAAGCTGGGCTGTGAGAACTTTGGCGAGACCATCTGCTACGTGACCGGCATCATCATGGGCCTGGCCATTTGCTTTGCCCTGGCTGAGCTTGTCACACGTTTTCTCCATGTGAGTAGTCTGTGTCTTGCAGTCCCAGTGCTCTCTCTACACGAGCACTCGGCGCTGTCGGTACCGATTTGACAGAGCCATGCCATTCTGACCTATTTTGGATGTTGTGGTGGATGTGATCCTAGGATTTGTACAAGGACCTTGAATTCTATCAGCCTGTCCAGTCCTACGTCCTCTTTGAAGACGAGGTACGCCTGACCCTGATGCGCCCTGTCCAAGTGCTGAAGCCTCGATGCCTAACGCGAGCATGCCGTAACTGATAGGATCCCGAGCAACCTGCGGAATATACGGCCCAGCGCCACGGCAAGGGAAGCGCCGCCTATCGAGGCCCGCTGCCACCAATTCCAAACCAGAATCAAGCCTTTGCCTAAGCTTGTGGTCCTCTTCGGCCAAACGAGAGGCGCTCTCGCAAGGCGTGTGTCAAAGGGTGCTGTGTGCACAAGCGCACAACCCTCTCCTGTATGAGGCCAACCACGTCGCCTCCATCTTTTCGTGTCTGAGATGTCTCAGCACCGCCTCTGCAAGGCGAGAGCGAGTTCTGTTTGTCCCAGCGACTCGTGTCGTGATGCAAAGTTTTTCATTTTTTTGTGTGTTTTGTGTGATGATTTGAACGAATTCCAATTGATTCTTTTCGACCTCCAATGTTAATTTCTTCTCCTCCTCCTTCTTCTTCTTCTTGAAAGGATCGGTGCGATGGCTGTGTTTTGGTCCCTGCCCGTTGTTGCTGCCCTGCTGTTCGTGGCGACGAGCGGGGCAGCGGAGAAGACGTATCAGAACCCGGTTATTGATAGCAATCATCCCGATCCGGGGGTGTACCTGGAGGATGGTCTCTACTACGCCGTGACGACCTCGGGTGACGATGATAACAGTTTTCCCATCCTGGTGCGTGCTCGGTAGACCCTGATGTCGCCTCGGGATCGCGGGCAGCCCCTGCAGGGCGTAGATGCGTGCCACACCAGGCGTAGCGGGTCTGTTAAAACTGAATGCTTTGGTTTAGACCTCTTCGGATCTTGTCAACTGGACGCAGCGCGGCTACATTTTTCCTTCCGGTCAGCAGCCGAGTTGGTCCAAGTTGGATTACTGGGCACCCGAGATCCATCGGGTGGCACCACACCGCTACAACTGCTATTTTGCGGCGCGGTGAGTGACTGCGATGGGTGAGAGGGGCTGGATCTGACCCTCTAACCAACAAAGCCCAGTCTGATTGTGAGGATCGAGCACGGCTTCCTCATGGTGGCCGTTGAGCCGTTGCAGGCATACCGATGGAACGTTGAGCGTGGGGGTCGCTACGGCCACCAGCCCTCTGGGCCCTTACACGGATCTGGGCTATCCACTTGTCCACACGCCGGGCATGGGGAACATCGACGTGTCCTTCTTCAATGACACGGATGGTCGCCAGTAGGTGTTGCACACGAGCTGGCCTACCCCGCTTTCCTGGTGCAACGCTCACTGCTGGTGGGCATTGGTGGGCAGGTATCTGGTTTGGAAGCGTGATGGCAATGGTGCCAGCCCCCCGGTACCTACCCCGATCTTTGTGCAGCAGATCACGAACAACGGAACCACGCTCGTGGGCGAGGCCCACCAGGTGCGTTGCGTTGCGCGTCAGTCGTGGGCCTGGGGTGCCGTCCACCACTCCTGCGCTCTCCCATGCGTTTGCGTGTTGTTAAGCATCGCGTTTGCATGTCCAGGCCATTACGAATGACCAAGCATGGGAGGGTCCTTTGGTGGAAGGACCCTGGATCATTTTGAGGAATGGCACATACTACATCTTCTATTCGGCCAATGGATTTACCTCGCCCAAATACGCGCTTGGTGTGGGGCGCGCGGACACAGTGACTGGCCCTTACACCAAGGTCCGCCCGGCCTTTCATTTCTGCTGCCTTGGACACGTGCCACTGACGGCATCCAGCCCGGTGACTCATCTGGACCCTGTGTATGGTGGGTGAGCGGGCGATAGGCCACTGATAATCCCTTTTTGGCCAGCGATAGCAGCTCGTCACCAGCGTCGTTTCGTGGCCCCGGCCACTGCTCTGTAGTTGGTACGGTGGGTGGCAACTGGTACGTGCAATCACTGACCCATTCTGAAGCAGGCTTGCAACCTGGATGTCGGTGTGCCTTCCTGCAAATTGCCCGTCATCCCCCTTTTTTGTGGAGCCACGTGCCTACGGTTGTGACTTTTATGCGCTTGGCCTTAGTCGCCAGCACCTCTCTGACTGGTTTGTGATTGATGCATAGGGCGGTGGTGTACCACGCGTGGCATGAAGGGGAAGTGGGCAATTCCTACCGCCCCATGATGCTAGACCAACTGTTTTGGAACGAGACGACGGGCTGGCCCTATGTTCGTAACCGTCAAGCCTCTTTTACGCCTGAGCCTTACATTGCTTAAATGTAACTGGTGGAAAAGCGATCTTGGTGACCGCCTGCCAGGGGAAGAATGTGGCAGATGGGCCTTGTCTTGCAAATCCATTCCCGACGACCGTTGTGCGATGCGATGCCGCCATCACCCAAGTGTTAACTTTGGAAGAGAAGGCGAGAGAGAGAGAGAGACGAGAGAGAGAGAGAGAGAGACAGAGCCGATCCCACAAAGACAAAAACAGGAAAGGAAGAAGAGAAGAAGAAAAAAAAAATAAAAAATAGAGAGAACCAGTGGACTGTCAGTGACTTGACTGTGACTTGTCAGTGTGTGTGTGTGACTGTTACTGTTATTGTTGTTATTGGTACAAGAGGAAGTCAGTGACGAGCTGGTTCTCCTCCTGGCTGGGTGATCTTGATTGACTTGGCTCGACGGTACCTCGGTTGGTTGGCTGGGTTCTGCTGGTCTTGGTCGTGTGGTGGGGCTTGGGGAAGCTGGCATGAGGTGGTAGAGGGGGTTGATGGCGGCCAGGGGGGGTGGGCTTGACTGTGGAAGGTTTGAGCGGTTGTCAGTGACGACCTGGCGTGGGTCCCTTAGATACGTCACCTGAACCGCTGGGCCGCGTGTCGCTGGCTTGTGCGCAAGCGTATGGGTTTTCCCAAGGTGAGCCATCGGCTAGGGCATCTTGAAATTCTGACTTGCAAAAGCACCCATATCAGTCTATCTGCTGGGTTCGCTTCTCGCGTTGCTCGCTCCTCACTGCGGACGTGCTCCCCCCGGCCTAGTTGTTTGACGACACCTTGGCCTTTGCGTCGCACACGGTGCTAAAGCGCAAAAAGCCGTGAGATTGGCTTGGGCCCATACCGCATAACCACCATGAGGTGAGCGCGTGCAACTAAACCGGGGGGGGTTTACGCTGGAAGCAACCAAACCTAACCGGGCGCGGTGTCGATGACCAACCAGGATGAGTGCTACGAGCACAGTGGCGTTGTGGATTCACTCCATCTAATGTCACCCGTTACAACGGTGTGAGGTTTCAAAGCGGCCACGACCATTGAGGCCTGGGTGCCCATCTACCCCGAGAGGCTGCAGTAGTCTGCACCGAGCAGAGTTTTGCCCTGCAGTCAGACCGCCTGCCATGGCCCACCCGCTCCCCGAGCCTGACCGCCCATTGGGCAAGAGTGGGTTTGACGACAGCCAGTCAGAAGATGAGGAGGAGCCAGACTTTGATCAGGTCTGCTTTTGTCTTGCTCTTGACTCTTCTTTTCTTCAGCATGCCCCTTCGCATGCGTGGCGACCGCGCATCTAGCTGGCCTCACGTGCACATCGAGTGCGTCCAACAGGTGCTCGAGGGCATCTCACAAGCCACCAACCAGCGCCGGCAAAGCCTTCAGGGCTCACCTAATCGGGGTCGCGTGGAACAGCTCAAGCGCAGGTCTGATCCGCCTCCTGTTGCGTGCCAACAAGACCTGGTTCCCGTTGAGCCTCTCGATGGGGTTGAATCGCTGACATCGTTTGTCACTTCCTGGCTCTTTCCTCGAATCCGTCTTCTAGCATGAGCGTCCGAACAATTGTGGATGCCGAATACCAGCGCGAGCGCGACACAGTCGAAGACACAGTCCTTAGTAGTCGAGCCTCACACATCAACCTCGAACAGGATGCAGGTACGTCCATGGTTTTGCAGCAGCGAAGGCCTGGGTGGGCATTGTCGGGGTGAGCATGGTTGCCCATCTCGTCGCTGATTTGTGCACGGTACGCCCAGGTCCTCCTGCCAAACGCGCCAAGCCCACGAGCATCGCACCCATGCCTTCGCCCGTCCTCTCGGGTGGTGCACCAAGTACCCCCATGCCCTCGCTGGCGCGTCGACAATCCAGGTGCGCAACGACGCATGCCCAACCCTCGCTTGAGGTTGAGGATAAAGTTTACAGTAGGGCTGGCATGACTCATTTCTGTTGTGCTCTCTTGGCTTTTTTTTTTTTTTTTTTTTTTTTTTTTCAATTTTCGGACCATAGCAGGGGGTCCCCCGTACCGCGCTCAGCCAGCCCCCTTGCACGTTCAGCCCGTGATTCTGTGACGTAAGCATAGCCTGCTTAGGCCAATAAGCGGTGTTTGTAGACGTCGGTGCATCACGATTTGGGTGGCAAGGCGCCAAGGCTCATGTTTATGCACTTGCTCTTGTTCCCAGGTCCGCCCGGCCTTGGAAACAAGGCCTCTTGCGCAGTATGTGCCTGTTGTGCACCCCGCAAGACCGCTTAGCGCTGTAAACGGCGGCCTGGTTACCGTTGTTATTCATGCCCGTGCTGTGCTTGTTCACCTAGCTCCAACGGTACCGCGCTCTCCAAGCACGCTACGAAAACGCCAACATGACCTCGACAGTGGCATGCTCTCCGACTCGCAAGTATCCGATAGCGGCTGGGAGCCTGGTAGGTGGGGCTGTGAGCATAGTGCAAGCAGCCGCTTGGCGCAGCAACTAAACAATGGCTGTGGATGTTTGTACCCATGCATGCAAACTCGTGCACACGCTCATTGCGCTATTGTGACATCAAACGATCCTAGGACGTTCCTCATCACCCGTGTCTGTTGCCACGACCCCTGGTATGATGCTTCAGCTGTGTGTCTGGTGGTTGTGGTTGTGTGCGTCAGAGCCCGGGAGTATTTGGGCGCATGAGACTCGACAGACATGGCTCACACCCTGCTTTTGGGCGCCGCATAGACACGCGAGGTCAACACCAGGCGTCGCCTTTCTTGGCACCGTTCGATCCCATGCAGCAGCTCTTGGCGCAATCACCGCTGTTCCAGGGTGGACGGCCCCCGCCCATGGGGCTGCCCCAGTTTCTGGCCGTGGATAGCCCGACGTCAGACGCTGCGGCCATGCCAAACGTCAGCCACATACCCGTGCCGCTGAGCGCGGAGGCAGTTCCGGCCGAATTGGGGGATGCGCCGTGTCGAGATGTCGCGGGCACGGGTCTGCTGTCCATGACACCCATGGTGCCGGTCACTACCCTGGCGGCAAGTGCTGTCCCCCAAATGAGAACGATCGCGCCTGATGCACCGGCGGGGCCAGAGGCGCTGTTGCTGACGCCCAACCAGCGGGCAGCGCTGGGAGTACCTGCTGCGGCTTTCCGCGCGGCCCGGCCCCTGGGACGGCGGGCCGAGCTCTTTGATGGGGCTTACGAGAGTGACCGAACCGGTGAAGAGTCGGAGGAGCGTGAGGCGGACGTGAGTGGAGACTTGGGATCGGACATGTTAGAGGCTGAAGATGACGAAGCCCCGAGTGTCATCACGAGCACGGCTACGAGCACGGCGCCGGCGCCGGCTCTGGCTCTCGCCTCGGCACGGCCCTGTCGATCCCTCATGGACTATAATCGTGCTTCCCAGCCATGGCGCGCCGAGGCCTTTCTGCCCACGTCCGTCCAGCTTTCGTCACGCTCGTCTTTGCAGAGTGTGCTTTCAGATGAGATGGATGAAGGCAACCGGCCGCGATCCGCCTCCCTAGCCAGCGATGCCGAGGGTCCAGGACCCGAGGCGCCATCATGACCGGGCGCTTCTGTCCCAGCCGCGTATGGGTTTGGGGATTTAGGGCTCAGGTCTCAGGTTCGCGTCCCGTGTGGATGCGAGCGATGGCGTCTGTGACGCACGGCTGCTTGTGCACGGGGTTCATTGTGCATGTTTACTCTTACGGTCTGCTGGCCGTGTAACTTGACTGGCTTTGTAATTATTTCCGTCTTGATGTACTCAAGGTTTCTCTGTTTGATCTGGTTGGCTCGGCTTTCCGGCCTCGAGCCATTGTTGTTTTTGTTGTTGCTGCTGCTGTTGTTGGTGTGCATGCCTCCTTTTACGCTGCCTCCCCCTACTCTGCTGCTCATAATTGATTCACTCTTTTATTTTTGTGTGTGTGTGACTCGAATGTCAGACGATACCATCTGTATTCAAAAGTGTAATCTTTTCACAGTCTGGGCTGACGTTAAATTTCTTAACGGATCCAGATTATAGTTTTAAGCAGATTTTTGATGTCTCGGCTTTAGTGTCCCCCCTCAGCTCGAATGCCTGCCGTTTCCATAAGTGCTCCTCCTTCAGCTTGCACTGTATATTGGACAAACCTCCATGACGGCAGGGCAGTGGTGGTCAAAGTGTCCAAGTAGAAGGTGCACCGTCATGGCTCATGGCTGTCAATGGCATGTTCACATTTGAGTGATCGAGGGCGAGGCTTGAGGTTGACCGCACCGTACATGTGCATGGGTGTATGACGGGGCGTTTGTGCAGGTGATGGTTGCAGGCACATGTCGCAGAATTTGAGCGGCCTGACGAATCAAGGTGTGGTCGCGAGTATGCGTCCAGTCTACACCAAGGCCACCCAAGGGAGGTTTGGTGCCACCAAGTCCGGTGTGTGTGTGTGTGTGTGTGTGTGTGTGTGTGTGTGTGTGTGTGTGTGTGTGTGTGTGTGTGATCCAACCGGTGCAAGTTGCAACAACAGATGTGCATGTAGGGCGACCTGGGAATTGGTGTGCCAAGCACAAGAGGGTGGGGAAAATCAGACACCCATCGTCGTAATAGTCAAGAGCAGATTGCAATGGGCAAAAGGAGTCATACTCCGCACGGCAACCGCTCGCTATTGTGCCCCGTGGCTACCTTCTTCCTTTCTCCTCTGCCATCTCCATCCTCTTCATCTCCATCCCTCTTCATACGAGCCCAATACCCGCCGCATGCGCTGCCATTCCTTGCCGGTTTGCTGCCTTGATGTGTTTTTCTTTTTTTTGTGTTCTTCCTGATTCCTTGTCGACCTTACTCATTTAAACCAGACAAGCGTCTTGATCGTTCCTTACAAAAATCCGATGTTTGCATCTCTGAAACGCATTAGTTTCGCCTTATGGAAAACCTTTTTTTGATTCCAACTTTACGCAACTCTCTTCGCTTCATCTGGTCGCAACAACCACACACAAGAATCCTTTGTGATAAAGTCACTCCACCCCTTTCTCTTACCCCAGCCCCTCAACACGTCCAGTCTCTGCCGTGCACGTGAATTCAAGGCAAAAAGTGACCGTCAGTCACCACCTCGCCATCCCTCTCTGACTCATCCGTTCCACCCCCTTCTCTTGATGACTCACACAAAGCAGCCTCCATTCCATTCCCACCTCTCAAAACAGTCACTGCCCACGCCGTATCTCTGACTCCCTTCCCAATTCAACGTGTATCTGCCCACCCAAAGACGACCCAGACCCGTATCTCTGCTCGGCACTCCAACTTCAACCCTCTTCTCTGAACCGTCTCTCTGCCTTTGCCTTGTTATTGGCTGCCATTTTACCTTTTCCCCCCTTGCGTTTGTCGGGCTGGTACAGCTGCTGCCTCCTCCTGGCTTCGCCCCGCTGTCGTACTACGCCCCACCTTCTTCCCTGTGCCACCACGCTCTTCTCTCTGGCCCGTGCACAAGTTCCTTCGGCATATCCTTACTCTTCCTGATCGGACGTCCACTTGCCGGTTGGGTCGTCTTTTGGTGCCCCCCAGTCTTCCTTTTCGTGCCAACTCGGACTCGCGCGCTCTGTTCCCGTCCGAGTTGTTGTTGTTGCGGTCGTCCTGTTCCCCCTTCTCTCTCTCTCCCTCTCTCTCTCCCCTTCCTCAGCGGCCTCCTTGGTTGCCGTTCCTTCCTTTGCCCGGCCGTTGTTGTACGTTTGTTCCATCTGGCCGTGGACATTGGCGTTGGTGGACACTGCCGTTGCCACATACGTCCTTCCCTTGGATAGTTGCCGTACATCTGTTTGCGGGGCTTGCTGTTTTTGCTCGCCACCGCTTCGATCTAGTCCTGCCGTCTGACCGCTCCCCCTCCTTGGCCTGCATCTGCCTGGTTTAGTCTCTTCTTGCCCTGCCAATCGGTTGCCTTTTTGGCTTCCCTATCCTTCATTACAAATCGCCCCCACTGTCATTCGCTCTCTCCCTCCCTCTCTCTCTTTTTTTGATACTTTGGTGACCATCGTGGCCAAGTAGTGGCCCCGTCCTCCTCCCTCGAGTCCCCCATTGCGCTCTGGCGCTGTTGGTGCAAGTGCCACCACCTTTTTTTTTTTTTTTTTTAAAAAAAATCTCTGGGGAGAGCGGTGCGCGAGATCATCGTTCGCCTCCCCCCTGCCATTTCTTCGACCTGAAGTCTTTGCATACCCTTTGATAGCAGGCTTTTGGCCTGTCGCAGAGCATCATGATGGATCTGGCAGATTATCGACTAAAGCTCACCATCTTCCACCAGCTCAAGCACATGGGCGTCAATGTTGCACGGTCAAAATCAGAAGAGAAGGTGCGACCACCGCGTTTTGCTGGGTGCACGCGTTCTACCCCCGTCGGTCTCTTGTCGGGTCTTTTTTGGGCCTCACGTTGCCTTGTGCCTTGTCAATTTTTGCAATGCCCTGCCTCGACGATAGGCCCACCGCAAGGGTTCAAAGCAGGCTGAAATGGAACAGGACGACAACCACACCATTTTCGGGGCGCGTCTCGTCAACCTCACCAGTTCATCCGGTGTCGACATTGACGGCCTCGTAGTCCCCAGGTTGGTTGATGACTTCTCTCATCAAACTTTCTCGGCTCGAGCAGCTTGTTGATATTGGTGGTGCTGGCTTTGGTGCTTGTCTTTTCCCCTGGTTCTGTTTTCTTTCTCCTTCCCTGACATGCTAATTCATTCGATTTCTGGCGAATCCCTGACACAGATTTATGGCTGAGATCAACACCGAGTTGCGCAAGCATCTCGCCACCACTGGTCTTTTCCGCATTCCCGGCAACTCCCAACGCATGAACGCCATCCGCAAGGACCTGGACACTGGCAAACGCCTTCCCACGGATGCCCAGGCCAATGACTATGCCTCCTTACTCAAGGCCTTTTTTCGTGAACTCAAGGAACCCCTGTTTACCTTTGGTTTCTTCAACGGCTTTGTCCGCGCATATCGACTCTCGGACCCCGAACTCCGCCGCCGAGCCGTCCTCATGCTCTGCTGTCTCTTGGAGGAGGAGCACCTTCACACGCTCGTCCTCCTCATGAAGCTCCTGCACGCTGTCTCGGAGCATTCGGAGAACCAGATGGAGCCAGCGGCGTTGGCGTCCATTCTAACGCCCAACCTCTTGCGGCCTCGCGAACAGGCTGCCGTCACTTCTCAGCTTGAACTTCAGACTCATGCCTCATGTTGTGGCGTCGTTGAAATGCTGATTGTGCACGCCGACGAAATCGGTAGCGTCCCCACTGATGTTATCAAGGCTGCAACCGAACTCCCAGACGAGCCACGAGCCAAGAAGAATTATCTCAAGCTCCTTGCCGGCCGTCGTATCGGCTGGTTTAGCCGCATCCGCGTCCGGCTGACGCGCGACATTACAAAATCTTCGGGTGCCGTCTCTGTGAACACGCTGAATATGCTCAAACGCTCGGTGCGTGGCCACTCCTCCTCTGCTCGTCCTGGTTTATGCCATCCGTGCCATGCACTTTTGTTTCATTTGGCCTGTCATGTCTTTCTCCCTCTGATATTCATTCACTTTCGTTTGCTGGTGACACACCACAGGAGAAAGAGGCGACATCTGCTTCGCCCATGTCACCGCGGGCCCGAGCCATGTCAACCAATCCGGCAGGCGCTTATGCACCTGTCATGGCCAAGCACGGACACGGCTCAGGCACCATGGCGGCCCCTACCCCACTGAGCTGAGAGGCATGCTGGTTTACGTCTATTCTGTTTTGTTACGTTTTCTTTGCTCGATTATCCCAAAATCGTGTCCCCTCTCTCGTTAGCTGTCTAAGAACATAGCGTCACGCCTGATTATCATGCCTGATTATCGACACTTGCTCCCCCCCTTTCTTGCTTGTCTGCTTCTACCCACCTGTCTTTTCCTGGTCTCTTCCCCAGCACGCCATATCACCTGTCGACTGTGACGCTGCTTCGCCGTGTACATCAGATGTGTTCATTTTTCCTTGATTTCCTTGATTTTTTTTTGTTCTTGCTTTTTTTCTTCTTGTCTCTACTGCTTCGTGTGCCACTTTGTTTGCGTAGGTCCTTTCAAGGCGTGCCGCTTTTCCTGCTTTCCTCATATTCTTTGCTGGGTTTTCCTTCTTCTTTAACAGATTTTATGCTATCCCCCAAATTTATCACAGAAATTCATCTCAGTTCGGTCTCGAGCGGGCCTGTGCAGTAGGGTGCGCAGGTGGTGGCAGCAAGTGGTTGGGGCTGATGAACACCGTAGCAGGATTCGTGGAAAAGATGGCATGCCGTGGAGACCGACCACCAGAGCAAACTCGCAAGTCATTTTCCCTGATGTCCTTACCAAACTCTCACTCTAGAATGACGTGCATCACCGAGTCATCCCCGAGCAGGAAAGCTGGGCACCGCCCCCTTCTTGTGCGGTTCATGCTGTCGTTGTTTGAGTTTGCGTTGGTCGCTAACGGCGTTGCCACTAATCCTACATGTCGTTGCTATTGATGTTTCTTGCAGTGAGAGAGAGAAAAAGAGAGAGAAAGAGAGAGAGAGAAGAGAGAGAGAGAGAAAGAGAGAGAGAGTTTGAGAGAGTTGAGAGAGTT